TGAAGATGGTTCCGTAATCTCAAACAACAAAACGGTGACCCATCTCCTCAAAGGAATGTTTGTTGAGCGTCCCCCAATAAGAACCTTCCTGGGACCTCAACCAAGTCTTACAGATATTAATGAAGCCCCCCTTCATGCCCCTGGGCCAGGCTTCATTGTACCACATGTCTCTTAAACTAGTGTTTCTCCTGGCTGTAGCCACCTCTCGCAGAAGAAGTGAACTACACTCCCTTTCTGTTAAACCTGGACACATCCGTTGGGAACCAGGAGGCGTCCGACTCATTCCCACAACGGCATTCCTGACTAAAAACCAATCTATGGGTTTTACACCTCCGGATATTTTTGTACCAGAAATACATACAATATCAACTATCCCTGCTGACAAAGTCTGGTGCCCAGTGGGAGCTCTTAAATGGTACATCAGCCAGACCAAGGCACTACGTGAAAGGACCTCACAACTGTTTATAACAACAACACATCCGCACCGTGCGGCTTCACGTGACACCATTGCTCGATGGATAGTGTCAGTGATTAAATTAGCGAACCCACATTGGCCTTCGACAGATGAGGGTTCATATAAACAGAATCCACATGCTCATGAAGTATGAGCACTGTCAACATCATTGGCTTTCTTCAGGGGAGTTCCCCTAGAAGAAATCACAAAAGCAGCATGTTGGAAATCTTCTTCCACGTTCACATCCTGCTACCAAACGTGCTCCAAACTGAGGGCGTACCAGGCCGGACAGTCCTGTCAGCGGCCATGGCCTCATCAAAAGGGAGCATGACGAGAGACGAAACCTTCTAGAGCATCAGGAGTACCTCCCTTGTGGTGAGTTTGTATTCTCTTAGAAAGAAGGTTAACTAGTCTACGAGAGAACACAATTCACCCATATGCGCCTCGCACCCTCCTCCAGATATCGGTGCTATTCTATGCAAATGTAGTTGCTATTTGGGTAAGATGAACGAAGTAGACTCCCCCCCCCCCCCCCCCCCCCCACAGTCGTGTGGGACTAGTCTACAAGAGAATACTTACCCAAATAGCATCCCTCCCACACTCTAAGCTCGGCTAGTTACCTTCTTGACTTGCACGAGAAAGAGGCAGATTCAATATGGCGGCGACGTCGCATGGCATCATGGGTGGGCGCCAAGAGGCGCATTATTGTGCGATAAAATGCTTAGCAAATTGGCATGCCGGCAAAGGGAAATATGCAAATGTAGTTGCTATTTGGGTAAGTATTCTCTCTCGTAAACTCGTCCCACACGACTGTGGGGGGGGGGGGGGGGGGGGGGGGATTTTGCACGTAATATCAAAAATGAAGACCCTGGATTATTCTATGCATTCCCGTAAAAGGCAATATCCAGTCTCTCACAGTTGATTTTGTATTGATTTTCAAAGATTAAATCTACAAATCTTTGGTTTCTTGTAATCCGTTACTTGATGATGTCATTGTGACGTCATTCACAGAAAGCTTGAGAGTTATATTAACTGTGCTTTTTGAAGCAAAAATCTGGATTATATCTCTCGCGGTTGATTTTTCAGCATTTTTTTTTTTATTTAAAAGGTCTTTTTATTGTAACTTAAAGTGATTTCAGCAAACTTCGCCACACACTAATGCTGCAGCCGAACCGCCGAACCAAATTAAAATTCCGAACTGAACCCGAACCAAAACTGAACTGAAACGTCAGTCTGGAAGAGTTCGGCAAGTATTTGTTGATAGCGCGAGGAATGCTAATACTTGCAATGATAGGGCAAAATTAAAGTGCACCGATGAAGTCACTGCATTCATCTTCATTATTTGCAGTGTTCTAGCCAGGCATACAATAGACATTGGGTCAATAGGCTTTGAAAAAATGGTACGCACCTGTGATTCTCTCAATGAAAAACATGCTCTTTGCATTCATCCAGCGCGGCCGATCTCATATCCCTGGCCAGCCCTGCATGCCCCGCCGCATGTTGATCAATTCCAGTGTGACATCGTTTGGACCAAACCGTTTGCGGTGAAGGGTGTGCTTTCCTCGGCACAATTTACCAGCATTTCACCGTGTCAAAATTACAAATAATACTTGGAGTCTCAAACCTTTCCCTTGTTCAGAATTAGTCCTTAATCGTCGCATTTTTTCCCCGTAAAGAACGTACACGAAATACAATGTTATCTCCCAAAATAGGGTGAAACACTCCCTTACAAAATTAATGGATCCGTCCACAGAGTGAGAATTTGACAAAAGTCGCGAAAGTTGAAAATCAAAAAGTTGATTTTGTTTACAGTAGCAATTTGTCAGCTTGTTGCTAAAAATAATTATGATTTCATTAGTTTGGTACAGTAAAGGACCTGTGTGTTCTTAGAAAAAAACTAATCCGCAGTTATTGCCACGAAACAAGTTTGGCGGGACGGAACTCGTCGGGAAAACACGTCAGCACATATGGGAAAATTTGAACATAGTTCGCCGGGAAAGGGCCAGGGCCAGGATAGGTAACGTAGCAATTTACGATGTTCATTTCTCAACGTCATAAACTCAAATTATTACGGTATATATTTAACACAACAAAAATGAGATTCCCAGACCTGCCAACTAGTACGATTCTGCCGTATTTCGTACCGGAATTTGTTGAAAATACGACTGTACGTTTTTCCCCCATAAAATACGGGTTTTGACCAATTTGACACGCCTGAAAAAATCCTAGTTCAAAGTGGCTGTGAGTGTAGATTTCTGTCGGATAAAATTGGCTGTAACATTGTAAATTGCAAGCAGCCGAGCAAACGATGTACTGCATGCACGAACTGAATCTGGTTTCGCGACTCCCACTGTTCGATGTACATTATGTACACAGTATCACAAACTAGAACCAGTCCATTCCCGGAGTGCCGATACTTCAAGCAGTGGCACCCCGCCGCAAAAATAAATGTCTGTATTCGTACACACACATACCAGTAGGAGTATGTACGGCAGATCTTACGTGCAGTCAACAGACTTTCTTTTTCTCAGTGCACGCACGATACAAAGAATACACTTTGACGTTCGTGTACGATAGTCACAACGTGCGTGCACGTGGGGTTCCGTTATGTCAAACATTTTTGAATAGTAAAGTTTGATCATGGAGGGATACTACGTTCTGAAACAAATTCAAAAATAGAGCATTGTAGCCACATTTATTTGTTCGTATAGCCCGTCTATGCATATTTTTGAAAAATACAGTTTTTTAAAGAAAAATACAACATTTGGAGATTCAGAATACAGTTTTTCGATCCCAAGGGTTGGTAGGTCTGGATTTCTCCTTCAACTTGTGTTGTGTAGCATGTGGAAATTGCGATGACTATTTCTGTCAGAGGTGCGCGGTACACATGTGTTTGTTCGAACAGGGAAACTGCCTAGAATAGAGTTGTCATTGTAGCCCTTTACATTGTACCATGGACATGTACATTATGTATGCACTTCGAACCCGAACTGAACCAATGTTCGGAGAAAAACAATTCGAACCGCAACCAAACCAAACTTTGAGGATCAGTTGCAGCACTACCACACATATCAACTGATTATTCATTTAAAAAAAATTTCAACCCGCCACTAGAGGGCGCTCTAACATGTTATGTTGTCACCGGTATTTTTTTTGTAAAGAACAACCTACCCAGAGACTAACATCGTTTAAAGTAAGTTCACATCTTTTTCAATTTTAAATTATTTATTGGAACAGAAGAAAGGGTCACGTGAAATTTGCTCACACAAGACAAAAGGAAAATCCTGGATGATTCTACCAGTATCAATTCCCTCAAAAGTCATGTTCAGGTCTCTAACGGTTGATTGTATATTGATTTTCAAAGATTAAATCTATTAAATCTTTAATGTGACGTCACGTGACGATGTCATCAAGAAGTCGGTCTTCAGGACACAACTTTGCTATAGGGACTATGCCTATGGCGACTTTGAATGAGGTATGACAAACATTAATGCCCAAAATAGATGTCACAAAAATCATGTATAAAGTCTATGATTTGGGATAGAACAAAAAGAACAGGGAAGAAGAAGAAAGGAAAATTAGATTTATATTTGTGGACAAACACATAGCTGTTCCGGCATTTTGTTAGAGTATTGTTATGTTATGTTATAGACTGACAGGACATAGATGTGCAGTAAAAAGTTGCAGAGTGATCAAGGCCAATACTTCCTTAGATATAGGCTTTAAAATGGACCTTTAATGTGACGTCACATTGTAACTTCCGGTCTGGTGACATCATCCATCTTTCTCCCTCTCAACTTGTACTTAGCATGAAGCTGATTATAAACATCAATTGTAAAGTGATTTTAGCAAACTTTGCCACACACATCAAGTGATTATTAATTTAAAACATTTTTCAACCTGCCGCTAGAGGGCGCTCTAACATCAGACTGATTTTAGTGGCCAAAGTGCCGCTAACAAAAAACATGTACAAATGCTATACATGTATGCCGGATGACTGAAAAGAAAAAATAAATTTCAAAAAAAAAACCCCCAAAAACCAGTCTTAATGAAAACACAGGATGTTTCGGCGGGTTGCCGAAACTGCCCAAAAAAATCAGAACAAGAACAAAGGCTTTTCCGCAAGTTTGTGGAAAAGCGAATAATAACATTGCCTTGGTCAAGGCGTTCGTTATTATCCGTCCGTACGGTAAGCGGCGGCATATCCTCGCTATGCAGTGCATGTAAAAATACAGCGCTGCAACATAGCGATCAGCAGTCGGCGCAGCGCGGCGAGGATATATGCCGCAGAATACCGTACGGATGGATAATGACAACTGCCTTGACCAAGGCTAATAAGGACCAAAACAAGAATTGTTCAGCTAAAAATCTTAACGAAAACGAAGAACCAATTGAAATTGGGAACAGCTAAAAATGGGGAGGGAAAACAAAAACTAATTATGCGCTTTCATTAAAAAAAATAAATAGACTAAAGATAAAGAATTGATACAGACAAAAGGTCCCTGCTTTCTCTCATTTCATATTTCTGTTATTGCTAATTATACAGAGATCGTCGTCATCGGTCTAGAACTCCACCAAAGAGCTATCGTGCATCCAGGTCTTCTCGCAGTCGAACCAGGTTAGTGCAAAAAAAGTTGAAAGGTAGCATTGAATCACTAAAAGGAGGGGTGGAGTCCAACTAACAGTAATCAGAAAAGGAGGCAACTTTCTCAAAAGAGGTGGACAATTATCACCTTTGTCACAAGTTGGTAGAAACTTTATCATATAGATAAATCTCACACTTTTTGACTTGATAATTTTTTTTTGCATAGTTTCTTCATTGTTTCACTGAAACAAATTTTTGGAGACACTTACCAGTCCTAAATTATGTTTTGTCCGTATGTCTGTACGTCCTTATGTCTGTATTAGATGCAGTTTTTGAAAAAAATGTATAACTTCCACATGCTTTTATGGATTTTGATGAAACGTGGATCCAGTGACCCAATTCCTTATCAGATTACTGAGGTCAAAGGTCATGTAGGGGTCATCAGAGGTCATTCAAATATGCTTCAAATGTTACTTTGTCTACAGAATTAAAAAAAAAAGTATAACTTTTACTGTACATGCTTTCATGGATTTTGATGAAACTTGGATGCAGTGACCCTTTGGTGGAAAGACAATTCCTCATCGGATTTCCTGAGGTCAAAGGTCATGTCATTAGAGGTCATAGGTCAAATATGCTTTAAATGTTTCTTTGTCTACAGAATTTGCTGGATTTTCACATAACTTGGCTGGAGTGCTCCTTGGGTTAGGGTTCCTTCTATACTACAATCACGAAAATGATTCGGGGGCGCTGCCATTTTTCCGACCGGTCTCCTGTCCCCATCGCGCCCGTTGGCTGCGGGGGATGCGGAACGGGGCCCGGCTATTTCCACCCCATTTTCCCAGAATTCCCTTCCCCATTGGGCCGCGCCGGCCATCTTGCGTATGGGCCGGTGTCACATGAAAATTCGACTCCTATGAAAATCGGACCCCTATTTCCCTATTATTGGTTGATCCCTCGCACGTGACAGGTCACTCTCCCGAAATGATCCTAAAAATAGCGCAGTATCGTACTCACGCGTGCGCAGTACTACCAATGAGTCCACATTTCATGGAGTCGGATATTCACGCTACACCTGTCGTGCCACGTATACGTATACGTTCGTACGTATAGAGGAGCATGCGCTGCAGCGCATGCAACGGTATTCCATGCAACATGCAAAGCGAAAGGCATGCTTGCCCCACATTTCCTCAGCACTACTAGCTTCGTTTGATGGTCGTTTGATGCATCGATTATGCTACCATTTTCTCTTTCAATGGTAAGTCCGATTTGTGCTATGACACATTATAGATTATAGTTAGTAGTAATTCTTTCGAACACCTCTGGCAAAGGATTATAAGTATTCTTTCGAACACCACTGCCAGGACTGCTGGCAATGACAATTGTTTTTTGTGAAAAGTGTGACCCAATCGCGTGGGCCTCGGACATGGCGATCGTGTAGTAGTAGTAGGGCCCGGTTCCTATAAGGGAACAAAATCCACTTTAAAAAAGCCCGACCAAAATTGGAGACATTCTCAATAAACAGGTAGGCCTATGTCATAGATAGAGGGCAGGGTTTTGATTTTTTTAGGGAAATTTTTTGGGGGGGGGGAAATTGCCATGACAGCACAGCGAAAACACGCAACCCGAAAATAAAGATGGCGATTACTGCGCGAAGTGCTGTGAGCACGCACGGCGCGCAGAATCGTAAGGCACAAACCGCGCAGGAACAATTTATTTGCAGCTATTGTGAGCCGATGTATTTTTTTTACAAGTTTTCTTTGTTACTCCTTTACACAGGACTCCCGATGACACCCACATCACATGACCAGCTCCAACCATGCTCTAAAAGCATGCTCCAGTGCATGCTTCAACCAGTTCCCAAAGCAAGAATCTCAACTCAAGACGAAGACGTGACACACCTATTCTTTCCAGTTCAACTGCAAGATTCCTGCTTTTTCTCTTTACCCATTCAAAACACATTTTTCTTCTAGCCATAATTTTATTATTTAGAAGTCATGACAATGAAATAGTGCAAAAATAATCACTCTTTTCTGCTGTTTTATGTCCATCCTTTTTTAAAGTTATATCCTTGGCTTAGTTGTACCCAAGAATAATTATGAAATGATTACCCGTATTGCTTGAAAGTCTTTCATGGAATGTTTTTGCCTATGCTAAACAAGCCTGGACCGACGTCCCTTGCGAAAATCGCTCCGAAAATTTACTACAATTATATCCCCTGAGTTTTGTCGAAGTACTACCCTGTAATGAATGCAAATACATTATTACTAAAAAATTTGTGTGTGCATTGTACCTGATTTCATTTTCACAGTTTTGTAATAAATACATTTAACATGTGGTGCTTGACATAATTATGAAGTGCTCCAATATGTCCTTTCTTATAGTTTTACTCTCTTCTGCAAATAAACGTGTTACAATACTTTGCTCTACAACCCATCACCGTAATAAAAACACCAACTGCTATAATGACATTAACAACTACTTAATACATAAGAAACACCCCCTTCACCATAACGAATATAAATTGTTGCCCACTTCCCCGGAAATATAAGTGACCATTCACAGGTGTAACATAAGTAGGCATGGGCGTCGCAGGGGGGGGGGGCAAGGGGGCAAGGGGGCACTTGCCCCCCCCCCCCCGGAAAAGCAAAAGAAAAAGTAAAAAGAAGGGGAACAAATGAGTTTAATTTTAAATTTAATGAGTTGGGGGGGGGGGCAAAATGTCCCTGCCCCCCTCTAAAACTGATAAATGGAGAATGTGTTGAGAAAAACGGGCATTCTTTTGGCAAAAATATGTTTTGCCCCCCTCTAGAAAACAAATCCTTGCGACGCCCATGTAAATAGGCCACACAATATCCAACCCCCACCCCCACTGGCTTCCCCCTCCTCCCCTCTGTAGTGAGAACGATGGATACGACGTTGTATAGGCCAAGATCAAACCGCGTTTCATCTAAATTACCTAATTGTACAGTTGGTGTATACGTCCTTAATGGTTTGGCACCTTGAAAAATCAATGTTCAATTTGACTGGACAATATTCCAGCACAACATTAGTTATGAGCTTTATATACATGTAATGAGACATCGCATGAGACAATCGGTCGGCAATAAATACTTAATTTCATTCAACTGTTGACAGCAAGACCTTCCTAATCGGTGCGCAATTTAAAACAACATTTAAACGGTATGAATCCCAGCATAAACATAAACCTCCACAATATCAGCGATTTCAATATCACCATCTCCCCTCTATAACAAAAACCATTTCTCCCCGTCCCTGGAAATATTTCTCCCCATCCCCGGAAATATTTGTGACATGGTTGACGGGTTTTACGGAAATTGGGCGTTCCAACTAGCACCCTTCACCCTAGCTAGCCCCTTCCCCTATATTGACAATATGTCCTGGACCCTCGCACAATCTCCGCAGGAAACGTTATGTGCGCGCACGTTGCTAAACGCAAATACAACTTAGGTGAGACTGATGGGGAGTCCAAATAGGCTCGCGTGCAGCAGAGCGTCTGATTCTTTATTTGACTTAACAGTTGTTTGGAGTTATTGGAGTTTAAATTATCGAGATTTCACTGTATACAGTAATTATTACGAAACAGTCAACTCCACCCATCTAGCGGGTGCCGCGCGAAGCGCGGCATCCCGCTAGTCACAATTCTTTCAAAATTGGAGGTCAAAGGTCATCTAGGGGTCATTTGAGGCTGTTTAAAAATGCACACAATTTCACTTCTTTTAAGAACACAAAACATAGGCCTAAATAAAAAAGGCAATACATGCGGTCCGCGGACCACTTGTTTAAACTACCCATAACAGAATACCAAATATTTGGGTAGAGACAGACAAACTTTCCTAAAATTGGATCCTGTTACGGTAAGGTGATAGTCAGCCGCGCAATTAATGTCATGTGACTGCAAAGTTGACACACCATCATATCAAATGTGGTTTATAGTTGTCGCTGAAGCACCAGCTACCAGTCATTTGAGGAGGTTATGGCATCCCTACAGAGTTGAAATAATTGAACTTGACGATGTCACTGACCTAACTTTCATTGCTGAACAATAGAATTGCTTGATATCAAACAAAACAGACAATCATTGTTTGTAAAGCAGCTGTTCTCTAAAATGCAAAGTTTTCCAGGTACATTTACACAGAGTTTGCTTTTCAGCAAGATCAAAACAGAAGAAACAATAAATATAAAACCATTCCTTCGAATGTCCAGTCTGTAATTCATGAATGCAAATTTGAACCTGATGGTAATAGATGAAACACTAGACATTGACAATTACATTGTATGTCCTATTAAATGTTCACTGTGTGACCACATGAAGTGCCTATAAAGGCCTAGCAACCAGAGACCACCAATGTCAGACTAACTATAAACCAGTCTTTAGAAAACTATCCGAAAGAAAGCATTGACAGGGGGTGACTACAGTTCTTGAGATCTTAGAACACTAATTCCCCCAAATCTTTCCTGTCTTACATTATTGAGTACCTCTGATCAAAAGACAATACGCTATTTGGGTTACTGGTGTGAGAATAAAAATTTCATGCTTGTGACCCTACTAATCACACCGTTTTCAGTTGGAATTTTACCCCCCAAATAATAACATTGATTTTGTCTTTATACTACATGTTCAAAGAACTACATTTGTTTGTACCATTTTCCATTTAGTCTGGTGACTAAGTTAGACTTTCAATATATAAGGCACTTTCACAAATGCAATACATAATAACTGGACGTTCTAAATAAAAACATGAACTACACATGCTAAATAAAAACATCAACTGCACATTCTAAATAAAAACATCAAGTAAACGTTCTCAATAAAAACGTTTTACTTTTCGAATGTGTAGTTGATGTCTTTTTTAGAACGTGTAGGTGATGCTTTTATTTTGAATAATGGTTTAATTTGGTATTATGTTTAAGAGTTAAGGTAAATAAAGAGAGTAATAATCGGCATCGTCATTTCAAAAAAATTCTGCTCAAGAAAAATCAAACCAGCCTGATTTGGGTATTTCTGCATGCAG